CCTATCAGGACGTGTAGGGGAATGGTGCCTCTGGCCTGACGCTTCAGCAAAAGCCCCTACTTTCGGCGGTTTTTGTCCTCGAGTGATATGAATGAGGAGGGTTGCCGCTCGCACAAGGCGTTGCTCCAGCAGTGAGATAGGGAGGAAAATATGTTTGGGATCCCGCAGGTCCTTCGTGTATAGTGTGGATTTGGTGTAGGTTTATCGAGTTTCTGATTAGGTAAGGGGTTCTCCAATTTGTTGGGTTAAATTATTCTTATTCAGGGATGATATGTTGGTGGGATTGAAGGAATTGATTGTAGGAAATTCAAGAATGAATTTAGTATGAAAATTGCTCAAACAAGCAAGAAACCTGGACACCTCTAATTACTGACTATGCAGTCACCCAAGCCCATACCTGAGTATAGTAAAACGAATTGAAGTTGTATATTCTCACTTCAGCGCATTGGAAGCTTTTGTCTTTTCTAACCCTTGGTCGTAACTCGATTCTGATGCTTTTTCCAATTGCTGCTCAGTTCTTCTTCTCTCCCTTACATTTTCTCCCACTACCTCTCAGGCAGCGGGCTTTATATACATCCATATCATAGCGTCTCCCATCCAGACCAGTCTCCTTGGTCATCTATATGACCCCACCTTTTACCCATCTTTTGTCTTCTTTCTGGTTCTACAGATATCGCTCTACCCCGCTTTGTCAACCAATGACTTTCCTTCTTGCCCCCTCGTGTATTTCCTTTCCTTGCCTTGCCCCACAATATCAATCTATAATACACATCTGTAATAATCCCTAGAACCTTCCATCCTGCTTATCAATATCCTCCTAAGCATTACAAATATTAGACACTCTTGGAGAAGTCTCCAGTCCTCCGAGTGGTCATGGATAGACAAGGGGTTAGTTGGAGTGCCGGTGATTTACAACATATAGTACCATACTTCCATTAGTGCCCGAGCCAAGGCTGCAATCAAGAGGGCTGTCACATTGTGGAAAAAAGAAAAAAAAAACGACTGCGGGGGGATGGGACTACTGTAGTCTCTCGAACCGGACGGGGGTTCTAAAACACTAGAACAAAGGAGATCATCTAATTGGTGGCTACCAACTAACATGTCAAAAAAAAAACTCCCCACTTCCTTGGTCACCCACCCCTCCATAATCATGTCTTCAGGAAAGACAGGCTACCTCTCACACTTTAGGAGGGGGCAAATTGTAACTCTACAGAGGAAAGATATTGCTTTTTCTAAGATTGCACAGCTTTTTTATTGCACTAAAAGTACAGTTTAAAGCTTTTATAACTAGTATTAAAGAAAGATTGACAGAAAAAACCTAATTACTGGAAGACTAAAAGTTATTGATACTAGAATCTGCTTCTGCCTAGTCAGAGAGTCCAAGAAGGCATACTATCAGCCATTATCAAAACTATACAATGATGTTGTATCACATGCAGTGTCTCTGTTAAAACAATCAAGAGAGTCTGGGCTCTGGCTTCTGTCAATAAAAGGAAGTAGAGAGCAAGGAAAAGAGAATTTTTTTTCTGGAGGATGGGCATGCTATGAATAGGGTGGCCTAGGTAAAGGAGTATAAGTTTTACAGAAAAGAGGACTTTGAGGGGGCAATAATTAGTGACGAATTGATAGTGGAAAAGTTTAAAGATTCTAAGAGGATTTGAGTATTAGGAATACCTAAGAAAAAGTAGCATACAAACTGTATCCAAGGGGGCTACAAAAGTTCCTAGAATAGATCTGACAGTCTGAGCTTACATCTAGGGTAACAGCATGGGTCCTCTGATTCCTATTTGTGACAGCAGTACACATAGAATTGTATATATTAGAGTTTTGAAGGATGGCTTAGTTAATGACTGGGAGGAGGTGGAGGACACAGTTGAGAATCCTATATTTCAGCAGGAGGATGCAAGGATACATACTGCAATCAATACTATAGCTTGATTTGCAGAAAACCATACACAGATTATAGAATTGCCACCCAATTCCCCAGGGTTGAATCCTATTAACTTCAAGCTTGATTAGAGAAGCATAAAGGGAAAGCTACATGAGTGCTTTCCTAACATTGATAAGACTAAGGGGGATCCAGATACTATTAGAAGACATTTAGAAAAAGCTCTTAATGTGATTTGGACCCAGGATATTGAAGGAGAATTCTTGGGAAAGCTATGGGAGTCAATGCCTAGAAGAGTGCCTGCTGTTTTTGATGCAAAGGGATGGTATACAAAGTATTGGTTTTTTTTTTTGCAATTTCACAAAGTTTTTCTTATATTTATTAGATCTCTATTTAAGTTTTCAGTTCATTCTAAGTAGTTGCGGTCGCATAGATAGTACATTTATAGTGGTTGTGGGTTTGCCATTGCCATGCCAGATAAACCCTTTAGTCCCCATACTTTATGATAGAGCCTCTTGCAAAGAAATAAAAACCTGAACCATACCCTACAAGCGAATTTCATCGGTATCCCGAGTACCTTAAGGCCAAGACTCCCCGAAGACACAAAGCCTTGGCGGGAGGGGCTGGAAACCGCGAGCTGTTGCTCGGCATGCCCCCGTGATGGTTGGATAGGGTTGGGAACGCATTTTGTCTGCGGGCATGTTTTGGCTTTCGGGAAAGCATCTAGGCTATAGGAATGGATAGAGGTCTTGGATCGATGCATCCGCCGGAAGGAAAGCGGAAAGGCTGTAGGGAAAGTCAGAATGTCAGATGCCTAGAGTATTGGATGTCTGATGGCAATGGAGAGTGGGGGTTTGTCTTTCCTATGTTAGCACGGGAGCCAGAGCAAGGGGAGGGGGAGGCATACAAGAAATAGAACTGGCTCGTGTGGTGGTCCAGGGAAGGATAACAGGACATTGTGGTTGACACATATGGTGCTCCTGTTTTTACCATTAGTTGATGTTGAGTTGGCAGAATATATGAAGTGAGCTTCCCCGCTCCTAGGTTGTGCGATAGTTTTCACGCGTGAACTCTTGGCGTTTCGAAAAGCCATTTTTCGTTTCACTGTTTCGCCGTCGCAATCACTTCTCTCGATCTACAATTAAAACCAGGGCCCCTGGAATATCTTGAAATCCTCTAGTATTTCTAGTCAAATTCGTGGATAGGATTATTCTTGAGCTTGAATCTGCGGTAGTTCACTCAGCTTTTTCCAACTACTTTTGCTTACAAAGGAGTAGCGAACTCTCCTCACCTTGATTCCCCATTTTCCGCAGCATCGGGACAGCCCCACTCCTTCTACCCCCCCCCCCCCTGAGTTCGGTCACCGAAAGCCTTCTTCATCGATGTCTAGTTGGGACCGTTGAGGTGTGCCTGTAGGTAAAGATTGTCCACATATTTGAGCCGCCTCCCAAGCAGAAAATTCTGTGGGATAAAAACCCCGACAGTACCGTAATTGCACTGTACTAGAGTACAAGACTACTAACCACGGGGCCTACTAACCACCACACGGGTAGAGTGGTCGGTGGTATCATAATTTCATGAATGCGGTTCATCAACCGGTGCTAAGCCCTCCTAAAGTTACCTATAGTACCTATGTTTGCGATCTTCCAACTATTAACCCAATGTATTATAATAACCCCCATGGGACCCGTATCCGGTAAGGGGGGTTAACAGGCCTGATACTCTTTTAAGCTTCAGTTTTACATCCACAATTCCGCAATTGTATTGGCACTCGAGTAATGATGTCAATCTTGACGGAAGGCTATGGGACTAGCGGCTCGGTACCCATGATGCGAAATGTCTGCGGCGGTCTACAGGTAGAGTACCGGTACCGCGAAAAAATCGACCGATGCAAACTTAAGGACTCTAGGATGATTGATGCAGGGTTTCCATAAGGGAACTAAAAGTGGCCCAGCATATTTTCATGCCGACCGAGGTTTGTGCTCATCAAGACTCAGCTATCACTCCCCCTCGGCGGTCCAGAAATGGGATACATATTAGAAACTTGTGTCCGATCGTAGGATTGGATTGCCAACCCCAAGATTGCACGTACAGTACCAACCTTGATGCCTGATACCGGAACGAGGCGGGGCGGGGGCCCGGAGCCGCGCACCAGTAAGATTATTTTGTGTTGCCACACGCTATTCGCTCGCCATTTACCGATATCCCAACCAGGCAACCCTCGTGCGACCTTCGGTACCACTGGTCCCACTTCCGTTGGGGGTTCCCGCGGGTGCGCCCGCTGCCCTTCCGCGTTCAGACACAAGTCGGCCGGTTTCCTGGGGCATTCCAAAATTGCGATATTATGGTGTAGGAGTATCGTGTCTTGTCCAGCGTCGTAGTTTTATGCGTCAGCTCGGACTTTGGATATCTGATGGATTTTAGGGTAGGGTGGTGCGCTTGTTTCATCTTGAAGATACCGGTAGGGTATCCTCCTGTGGAGAGAAGGTGGTAAGAGGCCAAGGCCTCTCTGGTAAGCACGGTCCGAATAGCTCCATTCCCTTATCGGCGGTATTTGGCACAAGTACCGTACTCAGACGATAGTAGTCTCAAAATCATGTTCCCAGAAGCTCTAGCTGATGGAGTGCCGGTATTCCGAAATGCATAGCCACCATACTTGGGGGGGTGCAGGAAAATCCTTTGTGGTTAGCTGGTTTTTTAGGTGTAATTCATCGCCTCATCTGTACTGTGCAGCACAGCCCTGTAACGAGACATGCGCCAAATGCCAGACACCCCGCAAACCACAATGAATTCTAACCAATTATCTGTGCTCTTACAGTACTTAGGTACACTGCCAATACCTGAGGGGGGCGAGCAAGCGTTATGAGGTCACAATACCCATTGTTTGCTTTTCTTGGGGGTTTTCGCAGCGGGAGCGGCTAGGGTGGGCTACTTATCACAGGGGCTGAATTTGAAACTCCGTTGCCGGCCATCGCTCTAATACACAGCCAGTCCAATACCACCGGTAGCACCCTTTCACCAAATATTCCGGCCTCACTGAGCTCCACCAGCACCAGCACGAGGTAGGATTACAACCCATCATAGCTGCCTCAAAACGGAATCATTCATCTGCATATCCAAGGCTACAGCCTCGGCTACTCGCTCCACCGAATCCTCCTTATCGACTTCATTCAGGGCTACTGAAAGCATTTCGAACAGCTTCGGTCGGAGACGCTAGCGATATCTTGTTACTTTCCTATCCGACCAACGAAAACAGCCCCTACACGGAGTTAAATATTCGGGTGGTTGATGGATCGGTCGGCTCCCTTCCCTTCAACGCCGGTTGTTTCAAAAACAATAAGCACCAGCCTAATAATCTTCACAGAAAAATGCAAGCCGGTATCAGCGGAGACTTTAGTGGAAATTCAGGGGATCATAACGTATTGGGTAATAATAATAATAACCTGAATAGCGTTACCAATTTCGGACAGATATATCATGGGTGTGTGCTGAGAGCCGGGGGCAGAGGTATTACCCGCCTTCCCGAATGACTACTAGCAAATAGCTAATCCCTAGCCACAGCTAGAAGAAACATCTCGGCCTTATCGGGTAATTCCCTACTACAGAAACACCAAATTCACTGGCCGTAAACATCTCATCGAGTCGATAAAGGAACTTTCCAAGGGTACTGGCCACCACCGGATCGCGCTTCATGGATTGAGCGGATCTGGGTATGTATTCATTGTTCTTATTCCGGGGGTTCACTAACATTGCTTAGAAAAACACAGATTGCACTCGAATACGTTTATCAGCGCGCAAGCGAGAACGATTGTGGTGTTTTCTGGGTGCAGGGGAGTGGTGTATTAAAGTTTATTGAGGGTTTCCAAGTTATTGCGGAACATGTTCGAATTCCTCTACCCCTCGCCCCGACGGACCAAGAGCAATTCCTGGCGAGTATAAAGAGGTGGTTTGAAGGTCCCGATAGTGGTGATTGGGTACTGGTTATCGACAACGCGGACAACGGGGAGGGCTTTATTGGCAACTGCGGTCCAATCTCAAAATTTGTACCGCAAGGCCAAAGAGGGACTCTAATATTCACCACCAGATCTCTCCAGGTTGCATCATGGCAGGGTTGTGAAAGGATCGATGTTGGAAAAATGGAGGAGGATGAAGCCCATGCACTGTTTTCGAAGCGCTTTGGTAGCTGGAACGGGTTGGGCGATGAAAAAGAGGCGATCACAATGATCCTGGAATCCCTACATCACATCCCGCTGGCTATTGTGGGTGCGGCAGCTTTTATGACTGAAACCCAGACACCACCTTCCACTTACTGGACCATATTTCGGGGAAGCGACGAACATGCGAAGAAACTGCTATCACAGCGATTTTACGATATTCACCGAGAGGCCGATATGAGCGAAACCATCCTAGCTACGTACTTTATCACCTTCAGCCGGATCGCACTCCAGACGCCCCTAGCGGCGAATCTCCTGCATTTAATTGCCTTCTTTGATCGTCAGAGCATACCCGAGGAGCTACTGAGCCGGTGTGGTTTGGAAGGGATGGACGATCCAGTTGAGTTTCGTCAGGCCATTGGAAAGCTATTAGGGTTTTCGCTAGTTACAACAGTTAAGTGTGAGGACAAGACATTTTACGAGCTTCACCGTTTGGTCCAACTGTCTTTACAGGTGTATTTACCAACAGAAGATTTTAATAGATGGACGGCCACTGCGCTAAGAGTGGTTTCAAGGTTGTTCCCTAAGGATATAAGCGAGCGGAGATATCTTGGTTCTGCATACATTCCACATGTACTTGCAGTGACGAAAGATTCGACGGATCCCATTGCCGAAGAGCTCTGTTTTCGCCTCGGACAGTACTTTCTCGATATGGGTTTCTACAATAACGCAGAAATTCAATTCCGTCGATGTATTGTACTTCGGGAAGAGAGTAAAGAGTATGACGAGGATGCGGAAGGTTATAGGAGGGTTATACTTCTGGGAGTGGCAAGCGCATATCAAGGAAAGCCAGATGTGGCCGAGAAGATATTTCGGGATTTGTTAGAGGATATTGAAGGATCCTTGGGTCCAAATAATCCCATCACCCTGGAGGCGGTCCGGTACCTGGGTATCGTGTTACGAGACCGGGGAAAGTACAACGAATCAGAGGCATTGAATCGGCGCGCACTGGAGGCTTACGAGAGGGTTCTTTGATCAGACCACCCAGACACTCTAACCAGTGCCCGCAATCTAGCTACGGTGCTGCAATACCTAGGAAAGTACAAGGAATCTGAGACGATGCATCGACGTGCACTAGAGGGGCACGAGAATATTCTTGGGGCAGACCACGCAAACACTCTAACAAGTGCCAACGACCTTGCTATTGTGCTGAAAATCCGAGGAAATTACGGCGAATCAGAGATGATGAACCGGCGTGCGTTGGGGGGGGTATGTGAAGATCCTTGGAGCAGACCACCCGGACACTCTAGCAAGTGTCGGAAACCTAGCCATTGTGCTGCAACACCAAGGAAAGTACAATGAATCCGAGATGATGCATCGACGTGCACTGGAGGGGCGCGAGAGGATTCTTGGAGCAGACCACCCATACACTCTAACAAGTGTCGGCAACCTAGCTACGGTGCTTCAAGACCAAGGAAAGTATAGTGAATCCGAGAAGATGTATCGACGTACATTGGAGGGGACCGAGAAAATTCTTGGAGTAGACCATCCGGACACTCTAACAAGTGTCGGCAATCTGGCTACAGTGCTTCAAGACCAAGGAAAGTACAGAGAATCCGAGATGATGCATCGACGTACACTGGAGGGGAGCGAGAAGATTCTTGGCGCAGACCACCCGAACACTTTAACCAGTGTCGGCAACCTGGCTACTGTGCTGCAAGACCAAGTAAAGTACAATGAATCCGGGACTATGCATCGACATACACTTGAGCGGCGAGAGAAGATTCTTGGAGTAGACCACCCAAACACTCTAACAAGTGTCGGTAACCTGGCTACTGTGCTTCAAGACCAAGGAAAGTACAATGAGTCCGAGACGATGCATCGACGTGCGCTGGAGGGACGCGAAAGGATTCTTGGACACGACCATCCCAAAACCCGATTGAGTGCTAAAAACCTGGCTACGCTGCTGCGATCACAAAGACAGTGTGACAATTTATAGCTGAGGAAGCGGTGTACGCGGCAGGCACTGCGAGGAACCTCACGGGATACCCGGCCACTATTTGCTCGCCGTGTTGTCCGGAATGCGCAGGAGAGAACTCTACCGCAAGGGCGATAGACGGGCGGGGGAGAGTAAAGATCCGCGGGAGTCAGCTGCGGACCAGACGAAACTACCAAGATTGACTCACTAGGGGTTCGGTAGTCATCAGTTGAAGCGTAGGGTGGAGGAAGTGTTGGGTATTTTCATTCTGCTTTTGAATTTTAACTCCTATTATTTCTTTTCTCCTTTAACGGTTTAACGGTATGCGTTTTCCTCTTTAACTTCAAATGGCGTGCCTTGCATTTGATAAGCTCCTTGTATCACACTCCTTTGCCACTCGTGATCATAAGAAGTCACTCTCTTGTTATTCTTCAATCTGGTGCCACCAATACCAATATGCAAACCGAGTTTCACACTAGCCCCCCATTCCATACCTATCAGCAGCTTTCCCGATAGGTTTCATCCCGGGCCTTGTACGGCCGCACACTCTAAAGGGTTGAAAGAACATACAGTGCACCTGCCTTCCCGGCGCTTCAGCCGAAGACCTAATGCCATATGCTTCCTGGGACCGAACCGCCCATGAATTGCACCTTGCCCACTTCTTGCCTGCGAGACTGATAGACCACCCTAATAGCCTAAAAAATGTTAGCAAATCGCCCGCGCGGCTGCGAGAACATGGGTAGTACGATGGGTTAGAGATGAGCCCCCATATAGTGCATCACCAAAGATTGATACCCCCCTAATATCTATAAATTTCTTGAAGTTCTTGCAAATATCTTCAAATCTCTACACTTATCTCCAGACACTTGTAAATATCCGCCCTCATGATGCAATATCTGGTGCTATCCTCGGCCGGTGTAGGCATGGAACATACAATGGGGCAGGGGGCACGACGACAGGTTCCCTCCATTCAGGGTAGTTATTATGCTGGGCAATTTCAAATCACTTGATATATCCCTAAAATGTACTGTAGATAAACTACTGGCACGTTAACAATTCTTATTTGGTTATCCAGGTATTTTCTTCTACCGCTTAGGTATTCTCATGGGCGTTGAATTCCTTGCACCAACACATTGTCTCCAAAGCACGCTTCATGCTAATAATTCCGCATCGAAAAACATTTCTCACATTTTTTATCCTGATGATCTGGTTAGTGATAGTCATTTATGCCAGGATAAGATCTTATACTACAGATCTACACCAAAATCCAAACCCGGTAGTCATCCATCCCCTATTACGGTAGGCAATAATGGCGCAGGTGACACAGTACTTATTGCAGTCATTTACATGCAGAAAGCTTTAGCGCATATACCAGTATTCTAGTTAATCTATATATCAATAAATATAGGGTGAGTGGTTCCATCTGGGGGGGCACATTATACTTGGGAGACCGACCTAGGCCTTTGAAGGATTTGGTGATTTGCGATCTCGTGTTGGAAAGTGTGGTGGGTAAAACACCGGTACCTCGGTCTCGGCATTCCCACCCACACGACGGAGGTGGATGGCTGCCGGGCGGTCGCGGGAACCCATTCCACCGGACGGTTTTTGTGGAACGCAAGGACCCGGTTATAGAAAGGAGCCACCCCCTCACGTGTCCCAAGTGTGAAAGGATTAGTCGTAGTAAACTGCATATGTCTCCTTGCGTCATGATAAGGATCTCGGGGTTCCCCTTTAATCCGCGGCCGATAACCACGAGTGTCGAGCGTGCTGGTGAATATTGACTCCACGAGGATGAGTAGGGGAACGGTACTCATTGCCTAACACTTCAACGAAAACCCCAACTGTCGGCGGGGACAGTAAGATGAGGTTAGTAGAAAAGAAGTGGTATGAATGAGGAGAATTGCCCCTCCCCCGCAAGGGGTTGCCTCGGCAGTGATATGGGGGGAAATTATGCTCAGGCTCCCACAGGTGCTTCGGTTGCAGCATGAAGTTAGTACATGTAGATCGAGTCCCTGGTCAGGTGGGGAGGTTCACCAGCTTGTAGGGTTAAAATTATTTTATTGCTCGGGAGCGGTAATTACGTTAGTGGGATTGCAGGATTTTGGGGGGGAGGTTATTGAGATAGGAAGGGGTGTAGGTCCCCGATGGAGTTGTTCTGCCAGTGCGTAAGAGTTGGTGAGCAGTTTAGCAGTGATTCTGGCTTATGTTTAGGAGTGGTTGTAAGATGGGTCTGCCCATTGTAGTGAATTGTTTGATTAGTAGGTTTTGGGGTTAGCTCGTTATATGATATACTCGTTATATGATATGCTGGTTCGGGGATGCTACGATAATATACGATGGACGTGGTATACCGGACATCTAGGTATTCTAGAGGGCCGACCGTTCTACTCTCACAGGAAACAAAAGAGTGGATTTGACATGAGAATCTGTTCAAACAAGCGAGAAACATTGGCACCTCTAATCCTTGGCTGCCAGGCACCCTCGTATCCGAGTACTGTACTCGTAGTCGTATAATAATATTATCATACTCTAGTAAGTGCCACGATCGAGGGTGGGGTTGCACCAAAGATGATTGAAGGAGCTGGGAGCGGTTTTTTTCGACCCGGGAGAGGTTCTATGATAGAAAACCTTGCAAAAAAAAGTGAAACATGAATCATATATGCGAATTTCACAGGTATCCCGGGCGCTTTAATACCACGGCTCACTGGAGGAACGGGGCCTTGGCACTGGGGCCCACCGAGTTTCTTGAAATCCTCTGGTATTTCTAGTTGTTCTCCAGGCGCAATAGGTATGTTCTATACAAATTCACTAATAGGATTATTGCTTGAGCTGGAACTTTTAGTAATTCATGCAGCTTTTTCCTACTATGATACTTTTGATTAGCAAGGCTTAGAGTGCCCTCTACCCGAATACCCATCCTCGAGCACCCCGGCTCATCCCCCACTGCTCCTAAACCCACCTGCGTTCAACCACCGAGGGCTTCTTCTGTAACATTGCTAAGTTTCGGCTCTCTAGAGCGGGTACCGGTAGAGCGGTCAGTGGTAAATGCCCTGCATCAACCGGCCCCAGCGGCTCAAAAGAGTCGACTGGTGAGAAGCTCTTCCACCCATATTACCGGTACCTATCTTGCAATCCCCCATCCATTAACCCAATATAATAACCCCCATGGAATCTATATCATGTGAGGGGAGTGAACAGGCCTGACACTCTTTCAAACTTATGTTTCACGTTTCCAATTCTCCAGTTGAATTGGTGCTCTAGTAATAATATGTGCATTTTGACGAAAGGCCTTGGGACCACCGGTTCTGTACTCATGATGTGAAATTGTTGCTAAGGTATACCTGTCCTACAAAAAGATAGACTAATATAAGCCTGAGAACTCTAGCGTGATAGATGGAGGATCTCGGGGAGGGAACAAGAAGCGGCCTGGAATATTCTCATGCCGAGTGAGTTCTGTGCTCATGGCGACCCAGCTATCATGCCCCCTTCAACTCAAATGTAAAAGGCTTAGAGATGTATAATAGAAACTTGTGTCCGATCGCAAGATGGGATATTATAGCCAATCTCAAGACTGCACATACCGGAATTGGTCCAAAATTCCCTCTTTGATATGTCGCGTAGGAGCTTACCGTATTATACCGGTATGATTAGTGTTGCTGGACGTGGTTAACATGCCATTTACCGATACGTATATAATTTACCCTAGTTGAGCCTTCGATACCACTTGCCCCACTTCCACCGGGAGTCCCTACGGATGTTCCCAGAGGCCTCGTGCGAGCGGACACAGGTCAGCTGGTTATTGAGAGCATCACAAAATTACTGTATAACCTGTACGGTGTGGGAGTGTTATCTCTTGCCCATTTTCGCGGTTTTATGCGCCAGCTCGGATTCTGGATAACTGACCGAATGGCGCAAGATCGCAGCCTTTTATCAACAAAAAGAGGTGGTAGGAGGCCAAGTCTTCGCTTACAAGGTTTGGCCGAAAAGCCCAATTCGAGTCTCATCGCCATTTTGTACAAATACCCTACTCGGGTACGGCAGCCTCAAATTTGTGTTCTCAGGGGCTCTAGCTGGTGGGGGGCGGGGGTCCCGGAATGCCAGGCACTCTACAGACCGCACTGGATTCCAGCCCACTATCTGAGTTTCCAGAACAACCGGAGGGGAGATACCTGTGTGGAGTCACAATACCTATTGTCGTAGTTCGAGAAGCTGTAGAGGGGAAGTGTGTAACCCCCCTCGCCACAGGATGGCTTGCCCGCAAATCTTGCATCCATTATGGTTCTAATCTCCAAAATACCGGTAATCGTGCCAAGGTGGTGGCGTCGGAAACTCGCAAGCTCGCAACCGAGGGCACTCCAAAGGAGTGCCCGCCATCTCAACGATAATTTCATACTCAACGATAAATTATTACATGCAATGGAAAGTATGCAAAAAAAACCCCAATTTTATGAATTAAAGGCTTCTAAATCTCAATATTCTGAATCCCATCATCCCCTGCTATATCCACATGCTTTTATATTTATTCCGTGATTTTTTTGACCTTTCAGCTGGCTTTGTACGGTTGGTTAGACTATGGGCACCATGAAGCCTTCCCCCACAAGTAGCACGAACAAATCCTAAAAAGCCC